TAGTGCCAGGAAAACACTCGTTTTCCTGGCACTATAGTGCCCTGAGGGTGCCCCCACCCTCAGGGACCCCCTCCCGCCGGGCTCTATGTGAAGGAAGGGATTAAACTTACCTCTTTCTCCAGCACCGGGCGGGGAGCTCTCCTCCTCTTCGGCTGAATGCGCATGCGCGGCAGGAGCTGCGCGCGCATTCAGCCAGTCTCATAGGAAATCATTCATAATGCATTACTATGGATTTTCACAGTGAGAAGCACGCAAACGCCTCTAGCGGCTGTCTCTGAAACTGCTATGTTTATAAAAAGGGGCGGATCCCTAGCTTGACCAGGCACCCAGACTACTTCATTAAGCTGAAATGGTCTGGGTGCCTATAGTGGTCCTTTAAAAGCCATCTCCAGGAATAACGGAGACAAATTGAAGTTTACCCGAGATGAGAATAAGTATAACTGAGCTGAGTCACCATCATTATGAACCTATCTGCTATTGCTCCATAATCTAAGAGTGTGCTGTCTACAAACACGTAACGCAATCTATTCTAACCTAAACAAGTGGTCACGCTGACTCTGTGTCTGGCCAAAACAGGTGGGGTTTGTGCATGACTGGACATTAGTACTGAGACAGCAGAAGATTAGGAGCTGGGCACAGATATTAACAGACGTTTGTTTTGATCATTTAATCACTGGGGAAATCTAGTTAATTAAGTGTTCTTGCATAGCAACTAAACTGCGACTGTGCCTTCATTTTTAATACTTCAGAGACATACTATGCCTCAAAATGTAGGTCTGGGTCTTGTGATTCTCACAATATAAAGCTCTTCGCTGTAGGAGTTATAGTTTTTAAGATACGACCGTTTGAAGATGGCAACCACCAAAATACTCTGACCTGTGTCAAGCTGCAGCAGCAAGTGATGTCATAGACAGGGCCTTTTGAACACCTGCTAATGTTTTTTATAAATGTATGGTTTAATGTAACTGTGCAACAACGTTGCAATTAAATGTGTTATATAAATGATAACAGTTACTCAGCCCACTCCAGTTGTAGACTACTGGTGGAGGCAAGAACACTTCACACAATTTCCCCAGAAATTGTAGCTTTTCTAGTTCTTATTATTCTTATTATAGCAAAATTTGCCACCCTAACTCCTCCCACAGTTTTTACACTACATAGACCAAAATTTACCAAAACGTGCAGATTGTTCCCGATCGGATTGCTATTACTTTGTGGAGCGTTTCGCCGAATGGTTCACGGAATATCGTCGTTCTTGTGGCGAAATTTGTCCCATAGGAATGAATGGCAAAGCTAGAGTGGGAGCTGGCAAAAGCTGAAAAATCAGGACATGATTTCTAAACTGCCACCACTCCCTTATTTTCAGGCCCACCTACACAAATCTTATATCAAAACGTTCAGCTATCCCTGCTGCCACTAAACATGTCAACGGCTAAGCCGTAGTCCTGATAGTTTTCACAATATGACCATTTGTTTGCAACCAACGCCGCCCATTGACATTCATTGAAACTTCACTCTGCAAAGCTCAAATTTGAAGTGCAATTTCTAAACTGCGACTGTGCCTTCAATTTTAATACTTCAGAGACATACTATGCATCAAAATGTAGGTCTGGGTCTGTGATTCTCACAATATAAAGCTCTTCACTGTAGGAGTTATAGTTTTTAAGATACGACCGTTTGAAGATGGCAACCACCAAAATACTCTGACCTGTTTCAAGCTGCAGCAGCAAGTGATGTCATAGACAGGGCCTTTTGAACACCTGCTAATGTTTTATAAATGTATGGTTTAATGTAACTGTGCAACAACGTTGCAATTAAATGTGCTATATAAATGATACAGTTACTCCGCCCACTCCAGTTGTAGACTACTGGTGGAGGCAAGAACACTTCACACAATTTCCACAGAAATTGTAGCTTTTCTAGTTTATTTTGTTGTTGTCTCCTGGCACTAGATGAAGAAAGGTAATACCATCCAGCAATTTCTGCAGAAAGCTTTGGAGATTCTACGCAAGGACTTCAGTGAACTGCGGTAAGAGCCCGGACCCCCTATGTACACCGTAAATAGACCGTCTATTGAGCTGGGCCATCGTGCTCTGTCATATGAAGTAATAAACTTGTACTATATCCTACAGATCCGCTGGTGTGGAACAGCTGATGTACATCAAAGAAGATCTAATCATTCCTCATGTAAGTAAATACTGAATGTATCTAAAACACAGGAGGAAAAACTGGGTATATCATGCCTTTGGTGAGATAAAGGCAAGACCTGCTGAACAAACCATTTATTCAGATCTATAGGCCTTTCCTGTAGTGTCTTATTGGTATCCTTTCAGGGACCCTGTTACTGGCAGAGCCTGTTGGAACCCTAGCGTTTGGTGTATCGATTCCTTGTGGTTTTTAGTATTTTTCCTTTTTTTTTTTTTTTCTGAAAAATTGAATGTAGTAAGGAATCCCTAGGTCAATGTGGCTTGCAGCAGCAGTCGTTCATAGTTAGCTGGTATAACGACCTGACATGCCATTTCTTTTACCCTAGGTAAGTCTAGTGACCCCAGAATTGACTGAATATACATTCTTGCACATGTAATAGCAACTGCATGCCACAATCCCAGCCAATCAATGCTGAATATTTTTCCGACGCAGCGCTGCCTTTCTGTCTCCCCCAGTGCTTTCTTTTACGTTATTCTTGTTTAGGTGTACATGCCGTTCTTTTAATACTGAGTAAGAGAGCATTGTCCATGCAATAATTAAGATTTTTTTTTTTTTTAATTTTGCTGTATAAATCATGCCCCTGCAGTCTCACTGCTCAATTCTCTGCTATTTAGAAGTTGAATCACTTTGTTTATGCAGCCCTAGCCACACCTTCCCTTTCTGTCACTCACACAGCCTCCCTACACACTTCTTGTAAATAAATGTTTGTTTTGGAACATACACTACCTTCCCAAATTATGCTTACTTTAAAAGTTCTTTATTACATGACCTCATTTGTGAGCAGTGTTAATTTTGGCAGCAAATTTCAATTTAGTTTTAGTCTTATTTTAGTTATCTTAGTTGTTTTAGTCGATTAAATCTCCAGTAGATTTTAGTCAACACGACTAATAACCTAATGGGTTTAGTTAAGGCCTCTGTCTCTTTTGCCCCTTCCCCAGCCCCTCCGTGTCTCTTTTGTCCCTTCCACAGACCCTTTTGTGCAGTGTTAATTTTGGTGGGAAATTTCAATTTAGTTTTAGTCATAGTCTGGCTAAAAATACATTTTAATTGTAGTCGTATTTTAGTCATCTGATTTTTTTATTTTTTTATTTTTTTTTTTGTCTAATTTTAGTATTTTAGAAGAAACAAATTCTTTGAGATACACAGACTTGTCTGCACTATAAAGAATTGCAAAAAAGTTTAAGTCAACCAATGAGTGCTCTGACAGATAAGTCTCTACATTTACCTGTCACAGCACTCTGGTTGGCTTGGGATCCAACCAATCAGTGCCCTGAGTAATTTTACATAGTGTGGGAAAGTTCTTTGGAATTTTCCCACGCTGTGTAAAATTACTCAGAGCATTCTGATTGGTTGGATCCCAAGCCAACCAGAGTGCTGTGACCGGTAAATGTAGAGACTTATCTGTCAGAGCACTCATTGGTTGGCTTAAACTTTTTTGCGCTCTGTCCCCCCTACCACCCAATTTTACACCTGTAAAGGATCGCCTGGCACCCCGACTGGGTACCTCCGTTAAAGGATGCTCCTAGCGCTTCCTGAGGACTCCAAGCACTGCAGCAGACACCACAACCACCGAACCGGAGAAGCATACGAATCCTCTCAAGCATATGAATGCTGTAGACAGTTGAATAGGAACCATACGAATAGGTTTACTCTCCTAGCAGTCAAACTGGAACAGCCTACAATAAATCCTTCCCCCAATAATGAGACGACACTTCACTTTGAGGGTTAAAACAGGAACTCCCTGTACTGTCACATACAGTCTCTTTTATTCCCAATCCACAAACATAGTACAGCCCACAGGCGTTACAAAACAACCAATCAAACAACCAATCAATCCGTACAATACACCCAGACACTCCCACATAAAATCCTCCCCTCTGCATGTGATATGATTACTGAACACAATGGGTAATCTCATTATCACCGGCAGAGGAATACAGTTTTACACAATATTTATAACTTCTAAAATATACATATCACAAACATAAAACATACATTTTCATAATCAATCCATTCAGGGGAACAACATATTAAAAAATGGCACGAATCAGACCAGGGGTTCAAAAGTTAAGGGAAAGTCCTTTCTGACTAAATGAAGCATGGTTTTTCTGCCCAAAACCAGTTCCACAGAGTCTTCTATAGTGGAGATAATTGAGAAGTAATTCAATTATCTCCAAGGACAGAGGCAAAACCCCATTAGCCACATGGCAGACAAAGGACAATAAAATACAATAAAATACAATAAAATATACAAGGTTACATTTATTACATAAAATACAGACATTCTACCTATCCCCAGATAGCTTAGATCTGAGCGCACATTATTACCGGATGGCGCCCAGATCACATACATATAGTTCAATTGCCATGGAGCCAAAGTCTTTCATACAGTCTTTCAGTATACTGCTGGGCTCCATGGCATAGCTATCTGGGGTAGCATGGCTTTAACAGTCCGCAGAAAGGCACAAACCAGCCTTTCTGCAGGGAAAAAGAACAGGGGCCATAGTCTAAAGGCAAGAGGCGGGCAAGCAGCCCCCTCCAAGGACACGTGGCGAGGCCGGTTTCGCCACAACACCCATATTCTGTGTTTGTTTGTTCGTCTTTCTGACGAATGACTGACTGAATAGACAAAATTCCTGTAGCGAATGCCAATGTTTTTAACTGGGCATGCACAGGAATTTCACAGCGCTATCTAGTGTGGGCAGATGACATGTCCCAAAGGGACTTCATCTAACCACAGAAAGATGGCAGTGCCCAGGACCTAGGTCCGGGCAGAAAATAAAGATTTAAAAATAGGTAATATGGGGGTCATTTGGGGGTGACTAGAGGGTCAATTAAATGTAGTGGAGTCGAGAGGGGGGTTAAAAAAAACACTGGATATGGCCATGACTGTGCCACCTTAAATAATTACTGGATAAATATGATTTTATATTTTGATGTGTGGTTTATAGCTCCCAATGCGCTCACTGTGTCTGTAGGAGAAGCATGCTATTGGACTCCATGCAGCATGAATATGATGTTTGTGCTGGGGATACAGGAATCAGCTAAGTTACAGAACTTGCAGAACAGGTAGGATTTTAGGGAATGAAAACCGTTACATGCATATTTGTTTAACCCCTTAACATGTCATGATTTCCTTTTATTTCAGAAGTTTGGTCCTTAAGGGGTTAAATGCCTTGTTTTAGGGCATTAAATATATGCATTTTATGAACACATAATGACAATATGGTGAAAATGTCCCCCAGTCCATAATGAGAAAGCATGAAGTATGTTAGGAGACACCATTTGTTATCTATGAGTCTAATTTTTCTCCATTTATTTTCAGCACCATAGTTTCTATGACTTCATTGTGACAAAGGCCAGAGGCAAGAGTGGTGAGTGACTCTCAGCTGCGCTCTGTCCGGGTTTGGTCGTGGTGACTCCCAGCTGCGCTCTGTGCAGGTTTGGTCTTGGTGACTCCCAGCTGCCCTCTGTGCTGGTTTGGTCGTGGTGACTCCCAGCTGCCCTCTGTGCTGGTTTGGTCGTGGTGACTCCCAGCTGCCCTCTGTGCAGGTTTGGTCGTGGTGACTCCCAGCTGCCCTC